GTGTGTTTTGCTGTGTCTACTCTCAAAAACAGGAGACCGATGGTGCAGTGGTTATGAGCAGTGCCGCTATCTGCAAGGCCAGCAGTTTGAAACCACTGAGGTGCTCCCCAGGTGAAAGATGGAGCTTTCTACTTCCACAGAGCCGCGGTCTCGGGAACTCACAGGGGCAGTTTTACCCTGTCCTGTGGAGTCGTTATGAGCCAGGATAGACCTGGTGGCAGTAAGCTTGGTTTATTCTCAGGAAGCATAGTATGTGAAAAAAGCTCAATAAATTCTAAGTGACAAAAATAAAGTCAACTGCACATGTACACATAGATAATTGTATGCAGCATGACGGCAAGGAGTCCTTTGGGCTCCTTACCTCAAGGTCAGTGTTCAAGCCCGTCAGGTACTCTCAGGGAGAAAGACGAGGCTGTGTGCTCCCTTAAAGATCTACTCTCGGGAGCCCTGCACAGGGCAGCCATGCATCAGAACTGACTCGATGACAACGCAGCGTCTCTGTTCTAGTAATGGGCAAAGGAAAAGGACGCGGGCTACAGTGGAGGGAGCCGTGCCTAAGTGTTTCCTCTTTGCCACACGTCCTAATGTGCATGCAGCACACATTGATTTTTTAACGGAAATTAAATTTGCATAATTTGCCGTCAATTTGGGGGTTAGCCTGGTGAAGACCCACTGTACTAGAAACCGCTATCGTGAACCAGACTGTCATACCAGGCAGACAGCAGTTGTCACGTGACGGCTGGACGAGTAACAGAAAACGCAGCAGATTTGGCTTTTGTATCTGAGAATGTGCTCGGAGATCTGGCTTCTCAGCACATGGGCTAACTGCACACACAAGTGACAGGTTCCACAGGGTTCTGTTCTGTTGGGTACAAGATTGCTATAGTTGGACCGCACCTGACAACAACACAGACAACAAAATAGGTTCAGCAAAGTCTCTGTAAAGGACACGTAGACACAAGCTTTATGGGCCAGATCAGCGCTGCTGTCTGTCACTCCTGAGCCCTGCTGGCACAGCATGACATCGGCCCATCGTGCTTGAGTAGTGTAGCTGTTCCAATAAAACGTTATTTATGAATACACGGGGCAGGTGGGACTTCCCACTAAGACGTAGTTTGCCAACCTGTGATCTAGAGAAAGATGCATCAAGTAGTCACCCATGGATGGACATTCATCCAACTTAGTAGGCGTCACTGGCATTCAGAAAATATTTGAAGACAACAAGAAGTATCAAGCCGAGAACTCTTAGTGAATATACATGCCAGCACAGGCACGTGTGTTCGGAGCCAAGAAGTGAAATGTAACTCTTCCGTAGACTGTGGTAAAAAAGCTCGAATGATATCAATTTAGAGAATAGGCATCAAGAGATAATTAATACCCCCCCAAATGGGACATTTCTTAAGTTTTCTTTCTTTCTTTTTTCTTTTGTTTTGAGAAGGTTTCCTTATGGGAGATACTTCAATGTGAATTTGAACTCAGGAAAGCCAGGCTTTACTAATATGGAGGCCGTGGAAAAACGGAAAGTACCATTTTTGAATTTTGCTGGTCACTTACAGGAAATAACCAACTTGTTTGAAAACCAAACCAAACCCTTGGCCACTGAGTCCATTCAGGCTGATGGCTGCCTCCACAGGGCTTCTGAGGCTGTAAATCTTTAGGGGAGCAGGTAGCCTCTACTTTCTCCCTCGGTGCGGCTAGTGGGCGTGAACCTTTGACGTGGTGGTAAGCAGTCCAGTGCTTATCCCACAGTGCCACCAAGGCCTCCTGTCTGGTGTACGGTGCTGGTGAAATACCCTCTCTCCCCGCGCTCTCCTCCCCTCCATGTACCGCATGCCAATGGAGTCCAGTTAGAACACTGTTCCGAGGGAGCAGTGGTGGGAGGGTCACTGAGCCCTTACCATTGTTTCCGAAGCTCCGGCGTGGTCAAGATGGTCGAGGCAATCCGGGCCCCATGGAGAGGGGGGTTGGAATACATGGGACGGATCAAAATCTTCAACTG